CAAGCTGGCAGCATTTTTGTTTGCATTTAGACTATGGGACCTTGAGGAAACTATTGCCACTTGCTACCCTGTTTCCTTTTAAATGTTACTTTCTTGATCTCACACACACACAAAACAAACAACAGTGTAATTTAACTGTCGAAAATACCGCAAAACAAAAAGGAAGTACTTATCTTCACCTACAGGTGGTGGTAACTAACACTTTTGGGAATGTTTCTCTGACCATTTGTTCATGTAAACACATTTGCACAATTTTCATTTTTTAAAGTGGGTGGAGGAATCATATGGTATAATTGACTGTTTAATTTGTTTGCTGTATTAGTATTTCTCTTTAGCTTTATTTTGATTGGCTATCTATGGTAGTGTTTCTTGATAGAAATACTGTAATGACTTGTTTTTAAAATTTTTTACTGTAGAAATACAAGATAGTAAAATACATAGAACACCTTCAGCTTAATGAATTGTTAGAAAGTAAACACCCTTGTAATTGCCACTCAAAACACTGAACATGGGCAGCAGCCAGGAGCCCCCTTTCCTCAATACAATCCCTTTCCTTCCCTTGAAAGTAACTACTATTTTGACTTTATGGATGTTTTTGATTTTTTTGTTTTTCTTTATTTTCCACCTGTGTTTGCTTCTCCAGATTTTTAATCTTATGATACAAATGGAATCATTGTAGTATGCATCCTTTCCTCTGGCTTTTGTTTAATATTTTGTTTGTAAGATTGATAAGAGTAACTATAGTTCATTAATTAGTTGTGTAATATCCATTTAATGCACTGCCATGTGTTTATTTTAATGACGGGCACTTTGGTTTTTACAAATAATGCTGATTACAAATGATACTGCCATGCACGAGCACCTAGATGTGCTTCCTGATGTATGTGTATATGCATGTACTTCATAGGCAATCCAGACCTGTGACTTTGCTGAGTCAGGGGATGTTGGTAACTTTAACTGTATCAGATAATGCCAACCTGTATTATCAAGAGTTCAGTTTTAGTATACCTATTCCATAGTCTCATTACTATTTAGTATTATTACACTTTGCTTTTAGCCACTATGGATATATGCTGTTACTTCATTGTGGTTCTAATTTTCATTGTTTTAAGTCTTTTCATGTAATTGTTGGCCAGTTGGATATCTTGTTTATCATAGTTATTATAGTGCCTAATTCATGTCTTTTGTCTGTTTTTCTTCTTGATTGCTTTTTTTTTCTTACTGATTCATGTAGTCTTCATATAAGTTTTTGACTGGTTAAATCAATTGCACATTCTTCCTCAACTCTACTTGCTTTTTTACTCCATTAATGTTGTCTTTTTTTTTTTTTTTTAAGATTTTTTAAAATTTATTTCTGCATACAGAACTGGGGCACAGGCCAGAGATGTGGAGGGTGAGAGGATTCACCAGAGACAGAGCGGGGAGCAGAACAGGCAGATCTATGAAGTACACTGCTGAGGGGAGCAGCGGGCGGGTCAGGAGAGGTCTGCCGCGCCATGTGGTCACCTCCTGGGTAGGCGGGGATCGAACTCATGCAGAAGTGGCTTAAGCTTCTTAGTGCTGTGCTTCAACCCGCCGCGCCACCAGGGAAGGCCCAATGTTGTCTTTTTTTTTTTAATGGAGGATCTTAATCTTACCTTTTTTTTTTATTACAAAAGTTTATTTTTACATCATTTTGTACATTTTTTTTCCATCTCATTTGTAATCCCCGAGGGTTTCCCATCACCAAGTCACCCATGTGCCATCACCATAATCTCGTGCATTTCCCTTCCCCCACCCCATTTTTGATCCCATTCCCTACTCCACCCCCACAAAATGTCTCTGGTATATGGTTGTTCATTATTTTTGTTATTTTCCACCTGGTCCATTATACTCCTGCTATGAGTGAAACCATCCGGTATTTTTCTTTCTCTTTCTGGCTTATCTCACTAAGCATGATCTTTTCCAGTTCCATCCAAGTTGCTGCAAGAGACATGTGTTTCTCTTTTTTGGTTGCTGAGAAATACTCCATTGTATATATGTACCACATCTTCTTTATCCAGTCATCTACTTTTGGGCATTTGGGCTGCTTCCATGTTTTTCTAATTGTAAATAAAGCAGCAATGAGGATCTTAATTTTAAGGATTAATGCTTTTCATGTCCTGTGTAAATCTTAGAAGTATTGCCTCAAAAGCTGTGATATACATGTTTGGTTTTTTTTTTAAGATTTATTTATTTATGCGTACAGAACTGGGGTACAGGCCAGAGGTACAGGAACAGTGAAAGTATTCACCAGAGACAGAGCGGGGAGCAGAACAGGCAGATCAATGAAGTACACTGCTGAGGGGAACAGCAGGCGAGTCAGGAGAGGTCTGCTGCGCCATGTGGATCACCTCTGGGGCTAGGAATTGAGCTCACTGAAGCAGCTGCTGCTAGCTTGCAGTGCTGAGCTTTAATCTGTTGCACCACCAGGAGGGTCCCTTTCTTTTTTTTTTTTAAGATTTATTTATGCATATAAGAGCTGGAATGTAAGTCAGCATTGCTGGGGGATGAGAGGATTCACCACAGAGAGTGTTGTGAACAGAATAGGCAGATCTACTGAAATACACTGCTGAGGGGAAGTAGTGGGCAGGACAGGGGAAGTCTCTGCTGCACCATGTGGGCTAGCTCCCTGCCATGGGATCCAACTCAGTAATGCAGGGTTGCAGATAGCTTGATGGTACTGAGACTTGTGCCACCAGAAAAGCCTAGTATTCATATTTTACATTTTTGCTTGTAGTTTACTTCCCCACTGGCAGTATGTGAACTTTTGATAACCATTTTCATTCTCACCAACAGTGTATGCATAATTTCCCCCATGCTCTTGCCAGAAACAATTTTGGGGTCATTTTTGCCAGTGTAATGAGTCTCTTTCATTAATAACTTATCTTAGTTTGCTTATTTAGAAAATAACTTTGTTGCGTCTTTCCAAGAACATGGTCATCAATAAGCCTAATTGCAAGGTTAATACTAAATATATTCTCTAGTCTTTGATCTTGAGTAGCATTTGTGGCCAGTAGAGAAAAAGAGATAAAGATCTAAAAAGCATTATTCTGTATTTAAACCAGCATGATTTGAACTTTACGTTAGTGAAAGTATATCAATTAAAACTTAATACAGTGGTTCAGGACCCTCCCTGGTGGCGCAGCGAGTTAAAATGCAGCACTGCAAGCTGGCCACAGCCTCTTCAGTGCGAGTTCAATCCCTGGCCCCGGAGTTGATGCACATGGCATGACAGAGCTCTCCTGACCCACCCGCTGCTCCCCTCAGCAGTGTACTTCATCGATATGCCTGTTCTGCTCTCCACTCTGTCTCTGGTGAATCCTTTCACCACCCCTGCATCTCTGGCCTGTACTCTAGTTCTATATGCATAAATAAATAAAATCTTTAAAAAACAAAAACAACTTAATACAGTGGTTCAAAGGACCAGGGAAATTGATGAGTTAGGTTTTTGTGAATTTCCCTTACAAATCTCTGCTATACTTAGAAGATGTAGAATCATAATTTTATATACATCCCTGCCCTAACTCACCTCTGCTGCTTTCCTCTTAAAATATTAATTTATATTCTTCCTACTTCTGAGGTATGAATTAGCTTCTACCTTTTCCTGGAAAATGGATGAAATCTAATTCTGTAAGACTCTCAGAAGCACTTGCTAGGAGTTGAAATTTGAAGGGAAGTCTGCATCCTACCTTGTTTTTACTATCTTGGTTTAGTTTGTCATTTTCACTGGACTTTTATTGTAGGTAATAACTCTTCTGCCTTTTACCTCCTTCCCATGGCTGCCAGAATGAAAGCTTATTATTCATACTATTCCTTTGATTGTAGATTATCAAGCAAAATATTAATCCGTGGCATCCCTGGTAGCAAAGGGGTTAAAGTCACCAGCCACCGCTACATGAGTTCTATCCCTGGCCACAGAGCTAACCTACATAACACAACACATCTCTCCTGTCTCGCCCGCTGCTCCCCTCAGCAGTGTATTTCTGTCAGTCTGCCTACTCTGCTCCCCACTCTGTCTCTGGTGAATTATCTCATCTCCTCTCCCCTACCTCTGACCTACATCCCACTTTTTGTATGCTTAAGTGAATAATATTTAAAAAAACCTTAATCCCTAAGCTCCTAAACTCAGTGTGTTTATCTTGTTAGATTTCTACCCTCCTATTGCTACTGAAATTACATTTTCCTTGAGTTTTAGGATATTCCTCCACCTTATTCATCTGACAGGCTAGAATAGCTCAACATAAAAAGCTCCTTGGAGCTTTACCTACAAAGCACCTCCCTGATCCTTACTCACTTTCTGTATATCCATGCTTTACCCTCAATTCTAGGAGTTAGATGTCCTTTCTTCTGGGCTGCCACAGCCCATACCTACTTCTATTACTGTATTATAGTACTGTGACAGATTTTTCTTCCTGTTGCACTTTTTTTTTTTCTACCTTACAGTTTGCCTCTACCCCTACTATCAGGAACTATCATATGATGCTCCTTACAGGAGCTATACCATAACTTTTTTTAAAGATCGATTCATTTATGCATACAAGATCTGGTACAGACTAGAGGTGTGTTTGGGTGGGGAGGGGAGATGATGCAGGGAGAATGGTGAGAGAAGCTTCACCAGAGACAGAGTGTGAGCAGAATAGGTAGATTGACTGAAATACACTGAGGGGAGCAGCATATGGGACAGGAGACGTCTGCTGTGCCATGTGGGTTACCTCCCTGTTGAGGAAAGCTTTATAGTGCATGCTTTAACCCCTTGCACTTCCAAGGGGGCCCTATCCAATAACTATTTAACAAATGAGTGAATGCAAAATTACATCTGTATTTATGTATGAAAAGAACTTACTGAGACAGAGGTCAGTTAGAAAGGATTAGGAACTTACCAACAGTCTATTTTAAAAGCAATACATACATAGAAATGACAGCTCTACTTATAGGATTTGTAGTGTTTTGCTCACCTTAGTTATGCCCTGCTGTTACAGAAGGATGCCCTGCAGTGGTCTCGCAATCCAGCTGCAGTAGAGGGAGAGGAAACAGAAGACACAGCTGATGTGGAGAGCTGTGGATCTAATGAAGCCAGCACTGTGAGTGGTGAAAATGATGGTAAGTGCCTTTAACAAGATGGGCGAAGAGCCATAAGCAGTTGCTGGAGACTTACTTCTGTTTCCCTTTCTTCCAGTGTCTCTTGATGAAACATCTTCTAATGCATCTTGTTCTACAGAATCTCAGAGCCGGCCTCTTTCCAATCCCAGGGACAGCTACAGAGTTTCCACACAGGTAGGGAGGAGAGTTGGTGATGAAACTGAGTCGGGGAATGGAATGGTTGGGTAGGAAGAGCAAGACCAGCCTCGAGATTTGGATTCTTCTACTTTTGCAGTTGACTGTGAATGTTCAGTGAGTGGAAAAAGTCGGTTTGGTGTCTGCCTGTTAGTACCATTTAAAGATGGGCTGTAGGAAAAATAGGTAGTGGATCTGAGAGCAAGCAAAGTGGTGGTTTTTTCTCTATACCATGGTGGGTAGTTTTATTTATACTTACAATGGACACATTGAGTATCCATGGAGAAATGTAGCATAGTGCAGAGTGAGGCAAATATGAGCCCATGAATCAGTTGGAATTATGGCCTTGTCACTCAATAGCTTTGGAACCTTGGATAAATTCATTATCTATAAAATTAGGAATGACAGTACATTCTTTAGCTGGAGTTGATGCTTGACACAGTGGCCAGCACCTACCTCTCTAACATGAGTCTGGGCTGCTCAGTAGGTTTCAAGCTGGTTGACTAGGAACTCTGTTTCACAAGAGAGTGGGTGGAGGCATGATGAAGAGTGCTGAATTTGTGGCCGCGAACTGACTCGGACTCTTTCTGTATTCCCTGGGGACATGTAGGCAAACAAGCAAAAGAAAAAGACTGGGGTGATGCTGCCTCGAGTTGTTCTGACTCCTCTGAAGGTAAACGGGGCCCACCTGGAATCTGCATCAGGTATGTGTAAACTCGTGATGGTGATGGTTCTTCCACAGGTCCTGTTGACCTTGCCTCTCTGTGGCAGTGGTTTCTGACCTAGGTAGTAGTATGGTGCCAGTAGAGTCAAACACCCTCCTCTGGCAGGCAGTATGTGGTGGTGGTGAGACCTGATTTAGGTTCCAGTGCTGGGCTGTGCTATGCTCTCCCCTTTGCCTCACAGGGCAGTTGTGAGGATTGCATGGAGGTGTTACGCAGGTGCTGTGTAAAAGTGTTGTACCGTGTTATAATGCTATACAAACCAAAATTGCAGTTGCCATTCTTACATGATATCTGAAAAGCCAGACCATAAGGTGGTGATCTTGACAGCCAGAGATTGGGCCCTGGAAGCCCCTGGTATTGCTGGCAGCATCTCAGGGAGAGTTGGGAGAAGTAAACTTGGTTGAGAGCCACGGGTGCGGCATGGATACTTTTGACCAGTGGAATGCTGTGCCTTCAGGGTTCTCGGGCCGCCACGCCGATGGCGAGAGCGGCAGCCCATCCAGCAGCAGCAGCGGCTCTCTGGCCCTGGGCAGCGCTGCTATTCGTGGCCAGGCCGAGGTCGCCCGGGACCCTGCCCCGCTCCTGAGAGGCTTCCGGAAGCCAGCCACAGGTGAGTGGCTTGGCACTCATTTCTCTGCCAGTAAAGGGGGGCCCCTGCAGGCCTAGTAGGAAGGTGGTGTCTTTCCACTTCCTTCATCACTTTCTTTTTACTTCTTGGGTGGCCCTCTCTTTTTTGTTTTTCCGTGCATTTTGAGTATGATATGCTAGACTGAAAGAACTTGTGGGCAGAGATGGTGTCACATCACTCTTTGTCTCCGAAAGGTGCTCGCCTGTGCTGCCTTGGTCGTAGCAAGTGTTCAAGTGAGTGAAAATGGCTTCTGAGTTTCTCAATGAAGAATTCTACAATTGGATTTCTTTCTTTGGTAGCATCCTGCCACATATGTTCCCAATGTTGATCTGTAGTCTATGTCAGATGCCCTTTTTTATAAACTAGTTAATATGTTGAGTGGGAGCCAGTGGGGAATTTTGGGGCTCTAAGCAAATGCAGTAGCCTGTACTTTCCACCCAGGGCTGTTTACAAGGCTAGTATGATGCTTTCTATTTCAGGATTTACATCTCAAAGCCTGCATGGCCATTGTTTGTAGATAGGTTAGGTAAAGCCATTAAGAAAACTAGCTTTGAATAAACTATTTGAATAAACTATTGCCTGAGTGGGGACTACTTTTACTGTCTTAAAGCTTTTCCAACTCACCAATAGTGTCAGTCTAAGGCCTTGCAGGTTGAGAGTTAGGAGTATTGGTATTTCAGTGTACTTGAAGCAACTGTAGGTCCCTTTTGTCATGGAGATTGTACTTCTTCAGCCCATTTATAGAACTCTTCAGATTTTTCTATAGTACACTAAGAAGATATGCTTTTAAATAATTTCCATTATTTCTCCAGTTGGCTTTTGTAACCTGTCCTCCAACTTTGAGAGAAGTTGTGAGTTTGCCTCCCTACCTGGCTTTCTGTGGGAAGGGTGTCCTCCTCAGGCTGTGACAAAGCATGGCACAATCGTGCAAGGACATAAAGCCAAGTATTCTCTTAGGTTTGGTAGCAATGAGAGTAATCTGAAAAGAATTATATAGCTTAGTGTGAACTGAACAGTTTGTTTTGCAGATAAGTTCTGGTTAGTTTGTGTGCTGCCACCAAAATTTTTCCCTCAGTTGGCATATGGCTTTAGGATTTAAAAGCTGAAAACTCTCTTTATTTTGCTTCTTACTGCTTCAAAAATCACAGGTCAAATGAAGCGCAACAGAGGGGAAGAGATTGATTTTGAGACACCTGGGTCCATTCTTGTAAACACCAATCTCCGGGCCCTGATAAATTCTCGGACTTTCCACGCTCTGCCATCCCACTTTCAGCAGCAGCTCCTCTTCCTCCTGCCAGAAGTGGACAGACAGGTGCAGTTGGGTGGCTTCCTTATTGCTTCTTTATGGGTAGGCTTCTTTTCTTTTTCTTAATTTCCTTATTGGGTTACTTACCTGCTCCTTCTAGGTGGGAACAGATGGCCTGTTTCGTCTCAGCAGTAGTGCACTAAACAACGAGTTTTTCACCCATGCGGCTCAGAGCTGGCGGGAACGCCTGGCTGATGGTGAGTGGACTTTCTCATCTCAGGTAGTTTGAGAGGTAACTGCCATGTGTCGCTGGTATTTAAATTTCATATATTTTTCATCTTTTTTCCCCAACAGGTATTTAATACAAGGCAGACTTTCCTCACAAAATTAATAAATGTGAAGGATATTACTGTGCTCCATAGCTGCTTTAATGAAGCTAGGGAGAATTTGGGCTTTCATTTTGTTTGTATATTCCTGTGCTGTGTTGCTTCTTCATTAAAACTAATCTTTCTGGTAATCATGATGTTGTCTAGGTGGGTGGAAGAAAGTACTAGCATTGGTGCACACAGTAAACTCTATCACGTGTTGTCTTCTTGGACATTGCCACTTGGAATAATTGGTGGCTTAGTTTTGCAGGAAAGCAGCTACATGGAAGGGTTGGGAGGTCCTCCTTCAGGTTTGATGATTCACTAGGATTTGTGGACTCAGTATGTAGTCATACCCACATCTATACATTTTTGGAGTGAAAACCTATAGTGCAGAATGAGTAAAGGGAAAAGACAACCTGGGGTGACGTCACGGAGTGAGCTTTCAAAGTACTCTCCTTCTGGAGTCACAACAAGATACACTTAATCCCACAGAAGTGAGTTGTGACAACACATGTGAAATGTTGTCTACCAGGGAAGCTTCTTAAAGAGGTTGTGCCCAAGGTTTTCCTTGGGAACTGATCATGTAGGACCTCTACCTGGCACAGACCCAAATTCTAGATCCCCTAAAGGAAAGCAGGTACTTGCTGTAAACAATCTTGTTTGCACAAACAGCTTAGGCACAGAGAGCCATTCATACCAATTCAGGGGGAGATGGGAACTCTGAAATCTAGTTTCCAGATGTCAGCCAAAGAGCAGCCTTGTAAGCTAGACCTTCTTACGGGTAAGCAGTCAGGCCTGCTGTGTTACTTTCTCTGCACAGAGAGTAAGAATGGTTCTTTCTTTATTTTTTTGCTATTTCGATTGATGTATTGCTTCATATCATAGTGAAGAGTTAATTTCCCTTAAAATAGATATGTTGGTCTGTCATGTGAGAGAGCATCCGGAGGAGATGGACTAATGTGAAAAGATGGTGAAGGTTAAAAAAATCTCCAAAGTCACATATATTTTCAAAACTCCTGATGTGGTATAACTGGAAGATTTGGCTTTCTGTAAGATAGACATTAATGTTCTGAATGTGTGCACTCCAAAAGTTTTATTTCTCTCTAGGTGAATTCACTCATGAGATGCAAGTCAGGATACGACAGGAAATGGAGAAGGAAAAGAAGGTGGAACAATGGAAAGAAAAGTTCTTTGAAGACTACTATGGACAGAAGTAAGACACTTAGTGCTGTGTCCTAGTTGGACTCTGAGTGGAGGGATAGAGATGTTCTCTCAAGTGATGCAGGCTTACAGTGTATGAGAATGTGGAGCTTACAGTCATTCAGAGCAATGCCATTATAGGGGAGCTACCTGTTTTCTGTGGTTAGTGTCATATACATGCAGATTTATTTTGTTGTGAGGTAACCTGTGTATGGGTATGTTCAGGGACATTAGATAGGTCTCTGGCCTGTAACTGATGCTGAGTTTGGTTTGCAGATTGGGGTTGACCAAAGAAGAGTCATTGCAGCAGAATGTGGACCACGAGGAGACCGAAATCAAGAGTGATTTGTGTGTCCCAGGAGAATCAGCACGACCACAGCGTGGTCCAGCCACCCGGCAGCGAGATGGGCATTTCAAGAAACGCTCTCGGCCAGATCTCCGAACCAGAGCCAGAAGGAATCTGTACAAGAAGCAGGAACCAGAAGAAACAGGGATTGCAAAAGACACACAGTCTGTGGCCCCAGATACTCCCCTCTTCAAGGAGGGGGAGGCTGAGACTGATGCATCAGGGGGTGGCAGCCCCCACCTGCCAGGAATATCCTCTGCAGCACCCGACCCAGAGGGTCTTGAAATCCCAGGTGAACCTGTGGCTTCCCACATCCAGACTGATACAGAGGACCTGGCGCGTGCCTCTGTGTCTCCAGACAGAATTCCTAGCTTGCCTCAGGAGACTGTGGATCAAGAACCCAAGGATCAGAAGAGAAAATCCTTTGAGCAGGCAGCCTCTGCGTCCTTTCCCGAAAAGAAGCCCCGGCTTGAAGATCGTCAGTCCTTTCGTAACACAATTGAAAGTGTTTACACCGAAAAGCCACAGCCCACCAAAGAGGAGCCCAAAGTCCCGCCCATCAGGGTAGGAAGCTGTTTGAATTTTGAGTGCCTTGAAACCATGATCCCTTTGGGGCTCAGGAGATGTGTGGGAATTTTGCAGGGCCCCTTGTTAATAATGTGGGCATGTAGTGCCGCTCCAATAGAGGCATCCTGGAGCCAGACTTTGAACAAGGAAATAAGTTTCTGTTCTTCCTCACTTGTTTACTCTGTTGAAGTTATTGCTAAGGCTGGGAATCCTGTGGGGTTTCTCAGTCTTTTATTAGTTAGTATCATGTTCTTTCTGTAGTCACTCACATAGTCCCACCAGAAATTAAATCTAGAAGTATGGCATGTAACAGCCCTTGAGCAGACTCTTAGAATGGTGTGTTGTGGGTAGCCATTTTCTCAGGATTGTTACAATTGTAAGAAAAATTATTTGTTCCTCTAGGCCATGTCCCCTAAGTTGTTAATAATTCCAATTTAGCTTTATAATTCCTAGGTCACAACACATAGTCAACTAAAATGGTTTTCCAATTCTTATCTTGCAGATTCAACTTTCACGTATCAAACCACCCTGGGTGGTTAAAGGTCAGTCCACTTACCAGATTTGCCCCCGCATCGTCCCCATCACGGAGTCCTCCTGCCGGGGCTGGACTGGTGCCAGGACCCTCGCAGACATTAAAGCCCGTGCTCTGCAGGTCAGAGGGACCAGAGGCCACCACTGCCATCGAGAGGCGGCCGCCACTGCCATCGGAGGCGGGGGTGGCCCGGGTGGAGGTGGCGGCGGGGCCACCGATGAGGGAGGTGGCAGAGGCAGCGGCAGTAGTAATGGTGGTGAGGCCTATGGCCACCCTGAGCCCAGGGGATCCCCGAGCACCCCTGGAGAATGTGCGTCAGATCTACAGCGAACACAATTACTGCCGCCTTGTCCTCTAAATGGGGAGCAAGTTCAGGCCATAACTGGTATGTCCAGAGCCAAGAGAGAGAACCTCACTTCGCCCGAAAAGGAAGAGAGCAGTCCTGTACAAAGGGTTTCAAACATCCTGACGAGCAGACTGGATGATGCTTCCCAACTCCCCATTGCTCCAGCTGGAGGCCAGCTTCACCCTCCAAGGATCCCAGACTCCCTGTCATCCAAAACCTCAGCACCTGAGCAGTCTCCATTGCATCTAGGTGTTAGAACTGAATGTGGTTCTGGTACCACTTCCTGGGAAAAGGATAAAGAACAAGGACCCACTGTACCCACAGAAAACAGTCCTACTCAGTCTTTGGTAGGGGATGTTGTGTTAGAAGAAGGAACTGGCCAGACTGTAGATGGTGACTGTCATCCCACCACGAAAGAGCCTGTGAATGTGACCCCCATTTCCACTCCTGAATCGTCATTTGCTGGTTGCCTGCAGGACAGACAACCCGATGACGAATTAGGACTTGATAACTCATGCCCAACCATGAGGGAAAGTGCTACTAGACAAGAAAATTTGAAAAACAAGGCTCTTGTCTGTGCCGGTGCTGCAGCTTGGATGCCTGGCCCATTGAATGACAAGACGGAGGGACAGCCTGAACTGAACTCTGGAGAAAATGTCCCATCTGCTGAGCCCCAGGTCAGCAAGGGGCAGGAGAAAGCAGCTCCCATCACTTCAGCATTGCCTGGGGGGTTGATAGCTGAAGAGGGTTTAGAGCCCCCCAGCAGCTTTCCTTCACTCTGGACAGTGTCGGCTGGAGGATGTGCTGACAGTGCTGGCAGCAACTGTGACCAGATGGAAGTTGAGAGGCTGAAAATCAATGGAGACTCCGAAGCATTGAGTCTTCACAGTGAGTCCACAGACACAGCTTCTGACTTTGAAGGCCATCTCTCTGAAGACAGCAGTGAGGCCGAGGCTAGTGAAACCATGGTGAAAAAGGGATCTTTGGTGGCAGATGAGGAGAAACATGGCTGTAACCCACCTGCCTCACCATCCAAGGTGAATAGTGACCCAAGTATGATTTCAAGGACAGATGAAATAGCTGCTCCTCAGAGCTGGGTGTCTCGAGTATGTGCGACCCCTCAACGAATCCCAGACTCCCTTCTTCTGGCTAGTACTGAGTGCCAGCCAAGCCCCTTGCCCCTGGGTAGATCTGGGTCATCACTGGAGGTGACTAACCCACTGGTGATGCAGTTGCTACAGGGCAGCTTGCCTCTAGAGAAGGTTCTTCCTCCAGCCCTCAACAGCAGACCTGAATCTGCACACTTCCCACTCATGAAAGAGCAGAGTCATAGTCGATCACATGGAATGGGATCTCTGCAAGATGCTGGGGAAAACAGATGCACATTTAGCAGGAGCAGCCCTAGTACTCTAAGATCTTCAAAGGAACCACTTCTAACTGAGAGCCATGAAGCAAGCAGTAATATTGCCAGACTAGAGTCCGCCCCAGTTCCTGGTGAGCCCCAAAAGATTGTCCCAAATTTAGACTCCCTCTATCCAGTGACAAATCCAGTGGCTGCTGCTGGGAAGCTCCAAGGGGATTCCAAAGGGCAGTTCTCTTCCTTCAGTTTTGAAGACCAGAAGGAAGGCCATGGCCTGCCCCAGTGCAGTAATTCCATTACTGCCCCAGGCAAGAGTCCAGGAAATCTCACTACCTCGAGACCCCCTCGTTTCTCATCTCCAAATGTGATCTCCATGGGTCCTGATCAGAGAGGTCGGACCCTGGGTGATCAGAACAATGCTGGAGGTCAAGGGAAGAAACTCTTTGGCTCTAGGAAAGTGACTGCAGCCCTTCAGTGTCCCAGGCCTGTGGCACCAGTGCCGCAGCCTGCTGATGCTCCTCCTGGCTTTCCTAATACGAAGTTGGAGCCAAGCAAAAACCCTGTGTCTGGTGGGGTACAGACTCCCAGGGAGGATTGGGCGCCAAAGCCACCGCCTGCCTCTGTTAGCAGCATGAAGAGTCAGAAGACTTTTGTGGGGGGCCCTCTCAAGGCAAATGCAGAGAACAGAAATGCTGTAGGGCCTAGTACTCGGGAGCTGGTGGATCAATTGCAGGGAATGCCCTTTGTCCTTGACCTGCCCTTCTGGAAATTACCCCGAGAACCTGGGAAAGGACTCAGTCAGCCTCTCGAACCTTCCTCCATCTCCTCCCAACTCAACATCAAACAGGCATTTTATGGGAAGCTTTCCAAATTCCAACTAAGTTCCACCAGCTTTAATTATCCTTCCAGCTCCCTCACCTTTCCCAAAGGCCTTGCTGGAAGTGTGGTACAACTGAGCCACAAAGCACACTTTGGTGCGAGCCATAGTGCATCACTGTCCTTGCAGATGTTTACTGACAGCAGCAGGGTGGAAAGCATCTCACTCCAGTGTGCATGCAGCCTGAAAGCCATGATCATGTGCCAAGGCTGTGGTGCATTCTGTCACGATGACTGTATTGGACCCTCAAAACTCTGTGTATTGTGCCTTGTGGTGAGATAATAAATTATGGCCATGGGAAAAGCTGTATATTTAGTGTGTGTATTTTGATAATGATTGATCTTAAATCTGCATACAGAATATCATTGATACAGTAGACTGTCTCTCCAGCAAGAACATTCTTGCCTTTCCCTAAAATTTATAGTGCTAAAGCTCCTCCATCACTCACTAACCCTTGTTGTCTAACTGGAGGGGTTTCCTTCTGGGCAGCTTGTTGGGCTGCCCACAGCTGACTAACCAGCCTGAGCTCTCAACACAGTCTGGCGTAGCATGGGGAGCCAGCCTAACTCCCAGCGGGACTTGAAGCTGAGGCAAGAAGGCTGTGACCTCCACCAAGGGAACTCATTTACCTGAATTGAGTAGAAATGTCAGTCTTCCACTGCCCCCTCCCTACCATTTTTCCTTCTACTCAGTCTGGGGAGTTAGTTGATGGTTGAGAAGCCAGCACAGGGTTCCATTTAACTCCCAGCAGTGCCCACCAGGGGGCTCAAGTACCTGCTGATTTCAGGGTCACAGTCATTTGCCTGTTGAAGAGCCAGTTTGGCCTTTGGTTATGTTGCTGAAGCAGATTTGGAACTTTATCCGCTAGTCCACAGGAGCTTTGGAATCTTGAATAGCCCTGTTTGGACAACAGGATTGGGCATAGGCCTGTCTTTACTCTTGAAATGCCATCTGTAGACCTTTTAAATCAGATATGTAGGCATTTGGGCGGGTGAATTGAATTCCTCTGCTTGATACCTTCCCCGTCACTTTGGACTCTGGGAGTGGGCATCTCCACGCACCGTGTATGTGACAGTCATTTTACATTTTCAAAGCAGTGTGTGTTTCTTATTTTTATATTTTTAACTCTTTATCCTTGGATGTATAAAGTGAACTTTTTGGCTTCTGTAAGTATGCTCTATGCACCTATAAAACTGTTTTATCATGTATTTATACATTGTACACAGTGCTGGCCAATTCTGTAAATGGATGTATTGTACAGAGAACATGACCATCTCTCCCGTATTTTACGTCTTGAGCGTCGTTGCATTCAAATGGTGTAATTGACTTCTCTCTACCTGTGCTAGAGCGAGCCACTGCGTGCTGTGCTGCCCAGTGTGAGGGGGGAGTGATTGGTGTTTTACCAGGTTGGCCCCCATGCCCTGTCACAGCCTGCTGAGCCACAGTCACTCCTGTAAGCTACTGAGCAAATGATCTTGCTCCTCACCTCTTCTCCAACCTTCACTGGCTGCTCGCTGCCATTTGGGACAAATCACCACCACCAGTGTTAAGTGCTCCTGGATTCATGGGTGAGTGTCCTGGGCAGTCCCAAGCAGGCCTTCCAGAACTGACTCTAGTATACATCATCTGTCAGCAGTACCTGGGACCACATTATCCTGGTGTCACAGGACCCCTTTTGACTTAGTTTTGACAACAGGTTGGGGAAGAAAAAAAAGAGGTCTCCATGGTTGTCCCTCTCCCGACCCAGCCTTATTTCTTATACCTCATACCTTGACTTGTGGTAGAGTTGAGAGTCGTCCCTGTTTAACCCAGGCCTCCCTGTGTGAGTGTTTCTGTATCGAGTATAAAATCGGTATGGCCTCAGCAAGTCTTATTTCATCTGAAGGGTTATCCCCCACTCCCATTTCATCCACTGGCGTTTTGTCATCTGAAGCGTGAGTGAAAAGTTGTCAATGATGTGGTGATTTAACTGCAGTATTTGCAAAGTCCGAGTTGTCGACTTCCAGAGTCTCTTTACCAAAGATAGGTTCGAACAGAGGCCCAAGTGTGTCTGATCCTCTTCTGCTGCGAGCTTTGGGGCCACTCTAGGGTAGTTTGAAACTGGTCTGGTCCACGGGGCTGCCCAGGGAAAGCACTGCTCTTGTATGTCTCTTGTGGTATTGGAAAAATAAACCTGTACAACCTGCACTGTGGTCTTGGTCATCTTCTGTGGCCACCCTGATGGGATGGGAAGGAAAGTCAGGTTGGAGAGTAGAAGCTGCATTGAAGGCGCAAACCCCCCTGACATCACCTTTGGCTCTCCTGACATCACCTTTGGCTCTGGAGCATGTTACTGTTAGGAACTTAGCTATATAAAAGTCTCATCATCATCAGATCTGCAAGACTTGGCCAGCTTTAACTGTGTGCACTAGCAACAGAAACCTAATGAAAATGACAGGGTGTTTTCGCCTTGTGAGTCAAAGCCATGAACTCACATCTCTCCATAGCTACTCGTCCTAACTGCCTCATGCCAGACTGATATTGCTGAAGAGGTTTCCCAGTGGCTGCTGATCTGTGGGGCAGGTGAATAGTTATGATCTTGAAAAGCCATAAACACAAGCACCTCTGAACAGTAGCAGGCAGCAGTGAAGGAGGTGCTGGCCCAGGAGGAAGTTGTACTAGTCCAGTGGGCTTGAGTGGATGGCAGGCTGCAAGCGGTTCCCCAGTTAAAAGTCCTCAGACTTAACATGAGTACTTAATGACATACCAGAAACTAAGTTTATAATCAGCTGAAAGCAATGGGGAGGCAGCGGGATGGAAACAGAAACTAAGATACACAGCCCTAATTTGCTTTTTTGAATTGGAGAAGGAAAACTGGTGGAAGACCTTTGGTGGAAGCACGACCTGTCTTGCCCTCGTGTGAGTAGAGGAGAGTGGGCTTTGTGATGTTGGAAATTCGTACTTGGAACCAGATGCTGATGGTGCTTCTTGCTTCCTCTTGTCTCGTGTGTGAATTTGAAGGCTCAAAATAAACACCTCTGACCTCCAAAAGATAGATTAAAAAGCTCTGTAAGGGCAGAGTTAAGAGTTGGGCTTTTGTACTGGTGCTGTTCGGTAGAAGTGCATTTGGAGAAGTTGAGTCGGGTGGGGGTGTGGTGATTTTGCAACGACTTGTGGTGTGTGTGTGTGTGTGTGTGTGTGTGAGACTTGGTGTCATGGGAGTACCCTCTTCATGTGCAGGGTTGGGACCTGACATTGCCAGTCACATCTCAGTAGGAAGGTAGAATGATATGGGGGCAGAGGGCTCATCTGATACCTTCAGCTCTGTGATTGGGGCAAGTTTCTTGGCTTTTCTGACAGCCTCTTCCTGCCTGGAAGTAGTAGATGCTTCATTACAAAGTAGTGCCTGGTCATGTGAACTTACAGTAACAATCTGTACAAGCTCCTTTCACGCTTGAGCCTCATCCCAGAGGAGAGCCATGGGTTGCCTGGAGTGCTGTTCTAAGGGGTAGTGCAGGCTCTAGGTGGACATCTGCCATTTGAACTCATACTGTCGTCACTGAGTACACACGTCCAGAGTTCAGATACTGAGTGCTTGGTGGGAGAGGATTATTTTACTTGTCCAGAGATAGAGGAACTGTTTGGGAATTTGAGAATGCTATCCTGCTGGCTGGACGTGGTGTCAGTTTATATCTCTTTTGAAGTCAAATCTTGCTTGAAGGAGGTGTGTATGTGTGTGTGTGTACACGTGTGTGTCTGTGTGTGTACACAGTAGAGTGCCCTGAACTCATTAGGGAGTTGGCTCCTAAGGAAGCCAAAGATTTGCCTGCCTGTGCTCTGAGGGGAGGCGGCACAGCCTGTGTTGCCCTTGTGTGGATGCCTTTCAGTGGTGGAGGAGAGTGGGCTTTGTGATGTTGGAGATTCATATTTGGAACCAAATGCTAATGGTGCCCCTTGCTTCCTCTAGTCTCGTGTGTAAATTTGAAGGCCCAAAATGAACATCTTCAACCTCCAAAAGATAGAGACAAAAACTTTGTAAGGAAAATACTGAGTAACAAAAAGAATTGTCAGTGCAGTGGTTTATAACCTTTCTGAGGATGCAAATTCATTTGAGAGCTGGTCAAGCTCTGCACCCCCTTTCCCGGAGAGTACACATTGCCTTGCATGCTATTTCAGAGAGTCCATGAGCTCCTTGGTCAGCTCACTGAAGAGCCCCCTGATCAGTGATGATCCTGATAGTCGTAGTTTATACAGAAGATGAGTGAGAAGAACACGGGATCTTTAGGATTCCTCAACTACTATGCTTCCTTAGTACATTTTAAATTACTATTAAAAGAACAGTTAATGTTTTGCGTTTACCAAATTTGTCATTAGGTTTTAGTTTACTGTTATGTGGGGGGCATTTCTGGTTGCTGTTGTCCTGTACACTATTAACACCAGTTATCTGGTGCCTCATTTAAAGAAACCAGACAGGATCAAGCAGCACCGCTCTGTCCTCGAGTGGCTTGTTGGATCCCAGTGCTCCGAGAGCTGCAGCACCTCATCTGGAGGTAAGTGCTTTCCCCCTTGGCTGGTGTGGTCTGCGTGAGGGGCCAGCGTTCTGAATGTCTGCTCATTGAGGGGTCTCAGTAGTGGGAGTTTTAGTAGGGCAGGAGTTGTCATGGATTACTGAGGATGCTGTTTTGGTCTCTGTGAACAAGGAAAGATAAGGAAAGATGGGGAATGGAGGTTCCAGCTTCTGCTCTTGGCTGTCCTGCTACCGTCATTAAGGAAGCCAGCAGATACTCCCTCAGAGCCATGGCTTCACACCGTCAGCCCTTCCCCTAGCCATTCCATTTATTTGACTGAATTTCAACTGAACAAATTACGCCCATTTCAGAAATGTTCTAAAAACAACTGCCATATGGTGTATGGCTGTGTATACACACAGGCAATTTTAATAGTTAAGCTTATGTTGTTTTACTAATACAGAATTGTTTTTAAATATGTGACAATCAGGTTTGCCCCAGCCATAATCCTGCCAGTTTTCCAGGAAGTTAATGCACAAGTCATGTAAGGAGGGGGAAAGTCCAGGCCCAAACATCATTGGGAAAAGCATTTGTTTTCTTCAAGGTAGGAACCATTGTTGTGGGTCAAATGGGTGAAGGTTCAAAATTGTGGTGTTTCCAAGCTGAGAAACTGCTTTGTCAATAGAAGCTGAACTTTGGGTATTTGCTGGAGCACGTTTAGGACCTTGCTCAGTGGCTGGCTGCTTCCAGGAGGGGGGGGGGTGCCAGTTCCCTGTAATCTGGGAGAAGAGCACCTCCATTGTGTTTCTTTCCTTTCCAACAGGCTAGGGTGAAGGAAAGGACCTTCTTGGTGATGGCTCAGAGAGGGTAGGAAAAGGTGGAGTCTGCTTTTTTTTTTTTTTTTTAAAGGTGTTTTAGTGCCAAACTAGATTTGGAAGGAAGAGAACTGGCTGGCAGGGTGGCTGAGGAGAGGACACAGTGGAACAAAAACATTCGGTTTGTTATTCAGTGTTTATTAAGTAGATTCAGTCTTAATATATGATATACAGATTCAAAAGAAAAGGATTCCACATACTTATGAAATCAGTGCATTTAGCAAGTAATACCATGGAGATAACAGCTCGATTAACAGCTCATTGGTCTTTTGTTAAGTGAGGGGAGAGGGAGTTGGCCTGTGCTAGTCATTCCACAAACAAAACAGATTTTAGTTGCATCACATAGAGAAGACACATTCTAAGAATTAAAATATTAAGCCACATTTACTGGAAAAACTCACTATATAGAACACAAATAATTTTGATAGAGCATTGAGGAGGAAGTCCTCACCTGCTTAGAAGAGCCACGTTAAGTTGCATAGGTGCATTATCTGTAAAAATATAATTTAGAGGTGAAGCCATTGATTATTAAAGAGTCACCTTTAAAAGTTGGCGCCATCCACTGTTTGCCTTAAGTGCCATATGCTTACTGTCCAGACCCTCCAGCCCCTCCCCAGAGGTGATGCCTCATGAGCAAGCGCCTCCAAGGGAACCCTGAAAAATGTTTGTGCCCTCTGCGCTGAAATCTCAAAGTCTCGTCTTAGATGGGGGACTCATACTCTTAAAACATGTCTAAGTTATGCCAGGGGATGGACAATCCTCTCGGGTTCCTAAATCCTAGGTGGCTTGACCCTGAAGGTCACATAAGTCATTCCCAGGCTGCTGGGAGAATTAGGTCCAACCCACAACTCTATAGCAAAGTCCTGCTTTCACGTCTCGTGTCCATGCAGTTACCCACCCAGTGGCCAATGACGTCTATTCCGAGTCGTCGTCTGCTGCACGGATTTTTCTGAGCTTAAAAAAAAGTTTTTCAGCTAATCTGAATTGTGTGGTGTAGGTTTTGTCTGTCTTTAGGTGGAATCATAGGTAAAAAGTGAGAGGTTTTTGTTTTGTGGCTTTGCTAAGCAGATGAGCTTAGTGAGGTGCACCTTCCTCCTCGAGAGAGAGTCTTGCAGAACACACAGGGACTGGGGCGTCTGTACATGTAAACAGTACACTTTCACTGAGTCCAAAATTAGGAGCAAAAATACAAAGGTTCACATTGGTCTTAGGTAGATACAGGCGAAAAAGGATCGAGCTGTTTCGCTCAGAAACAACAAAAACAAAGTTTCTAAAGCACCACTAAATTATATAAAAAATCAGACCATGGACGGATTGAAACTGGTATTCTGGTGAAATACTTTACTATCTTGTAAAAAGTTTTACAAAAAATTACAAATTAAAAGTATCAACCCTCTGAGTTCAAAGCAGCATTTTGAAAATGGACTGGTAGTTAATCCTGTAACCGCCCCTGAAGTCATGAGTGGCCCTTGGGACTAGGGGGGGCCAGTTTCCACCTGTTTAGAGTCCGCTATAACCTTCCCAATCCCCTACCTATTCCCTCCCTCTCAACACTGTTCTTGGGTATAAACTGCCCCTTTCTACAAGTGGTGACGACAAAATGGATTTCAGCTGGGTTACACTGTTCACTGGCCTGTCAGACCCACCACCAAACCAAGTGCTCATTTCTCTGAGTCTACCCTTCTGGTGGGATTAGCTCTCTGCACAGACCCTGGAATTGGTGTATTCTGCTCTGGTCTTTTACCTTAGGATCCCATATGACTAATTGTGCCCTGAGGCCCTCCATGTGAATGTTAAATGGCTGTGGAGCAGGGCTTTGGAAG